TAAACGTGCACTTTTATCACACTTTTCGCATTTTTAGAGCAGTCCAATTTTAGTTGCAACCAACAATATTTGCTTAAATAATATCGTTTTGCATCGTTCAAAGCAATAATTTCGTAAGATGAAACTGTTTTGATTACCTTTTTCTACACACCGCATTACGAAGGTGGGTGTACCAAGGGGGAATCAACTCTGCACACTGTGCCGAAACACAGTATGACACACTGTGCCGAAATACAGTATGACACACTGTTCGGGACGTTAAGGCACACGCTGATACGTATGACACGATTTTATTCAACATCGATAATAGCAGAACCATCTTTTGAAATCAGGGAGCAAATAAGGGAATTTTTTTTTTTAATATCTTTATTAAGGAGACTTTCAGCCGTTGGCTGGCTCGTCTCCGACCCAAATAAATAAGGGAAACAATAACCACTGTCCTCCCCCGTTGTCACGATTTTCCTATATCTAATTCATTGCATGTCATATAATCTAACACCCCCTTTTCCCCACTTATTATGCAAGAATAAAAAAAAAATGTATCACCCTACAGCGAAATAAAATAAGGCTCGTGTTTATTTTTTTATCTATACTATTTAACACACGAATCTTGTTATATTTCTAATATGTACATTTTTTTAGCAAATTAATATTAAAATGGGTGTTCTCCCTGCCTTGATCGCTTGTCTCCCATACCTTGGTTTGGGTTCGCCTTGGCTAGCCTGGTTGAGATCAGTTCTGCAGGCCATACTGATAGCCCAAAATATATTTACTACTGTGATCGTGGTCAGTTCCTTCATGACACACCCGTTTGGCATCATTGAACCAAGCGGAATGAATGAACTCACCACACGCGTATTATTTTATGCTCGTTTTACTTTCAACACTCGTATACTATTAATATTGAAATTAATGATCACATCTCCGTTTTACATTTTTCAATGAGCGATCTCGAAGTTGTAAACAAACAATCTCAAAAGTCATAACTGCAGGGTTGCCAAACTCATGGTATACTGAGACTGACAAATTGATTGCGGCACTTCGGCACGTTCGGCACAACGCTTGGCACAGCTTGTGGCACAGATAAAGTACTCTGCACTGATTGAGATGTGCAGAGTTGAGATGTGCAGAGTTGAGATGTGCCGAGTTGAGATGTGCAGAGTTGAGATGTGCAGAGTTGAGTACCCCTATTGGGGCCTCCCTTAGCTCAGTCGGTAAAGGCACAGCTACAAAGCAAGACCATGCTGGAGGTGGCTGGGTTCGATTCCCGGTCCGGTTTGCCTTGAATTACTAGAAATCATCGATAGAAGTAATTGTTTACAAAAGCTGTTACGTCCTAATTCCAGCTCTATCTATAAGTGTATCTAAAAGGCTGGTCAAATTTATTCATGCCAATGAAAAAGGACGATTTATTCATTGCAATAATCATTAATGATGGTAAACATCATCAACAAGGAAAACTTGAACAACAAGATAAACGGGTCAGAAGGAAAGCAGCAAAAGCATATTCAATAGTTTGACTTGATATTGATCAGTTTCTTAGGTGATAACCATTTTAAAGCTTATTCGATCTTTACAAAATATTAACTCAATCAAGCAATTGTAAACATATAATGAGAAAGTCAAGAACGAGTTCTCATTCCTGCTCTAAAAAAGGCGCCAATTTGTAAGCGGTGTTGAGTATAGTCGGTATATTTATAGTCTGGCGGATAGAATTTCGATCTATCAAAAAGCGGAACCAATTCAATATATTGCAGACCCAACCCAAAGATGGTGTTAGTTTGCGTAGGCGAGCCTTGAGTCACGAGAAAAGGATTTCAGATGTTTTAATCTCAATAGCTGATGTGCTCTTTTCTGTTGTTGGTCGTGATTTGCTCGATTGGTTCCGCTATTTGACAACTCAATTGGTTCCCGAGATTTTATCCGCCTGACTGTGAATATAGCGACTATAGTGTTGAGATTTGAATTGAAAATGATTTTTTGAATGAAAATGACAATTTAAAATTGAAAATGATCGACTCTGCACCACTCAGACTGGAGGTTTGAGTTCTGGCATCATTTTGGGTAGGTCGTATGTAACAAAAGTGTACAAAGTGTCGTTTTGAATCAATGGCTATGGTTGTTTAGAATAGCAAATTTGATAGAAATGAAGGGATGGTTTCAATATTGGATGTTAAATAGAAAATATTTAAAAAATGACGGAGGTTGAAATTAACAGTAAGATAGATCAGCCTTTCCATAGCAAAACGATATAGTGGTTCTTAGAATTGCGTAAAAATTGGTTTTAAACCACTGATCAAAATATTAAATAAACGGATTTTTTTTTAGTTGCGCCGATGGTGTATTGGTAAGCGGGATTACCTCTCACCCCAGCAGCCCTGGGTTCAATCCCAGTCGGCGTCGCCGTGATGTTCTGAAGCATAACATCTCTGATCACGCCTTCCTTCGGGAAGTAAAGCCGTTGGTCCCTGGTTCATGAGTTGATGGATCGATATGTAGGGTCCAGGTGTGGGAGCTGCCTCCCTGGCGTCGGTAGCATTGTTGCTCGCTCAGCATGGAAAACAAGATTAATCATTAATCACGCTTACCACTACACCACCGGCGCCGCTGAATCCACTCTGCATATAATTAATAATTCTTGCAGTGTAATACCTAGCAATTCACCGAAAAATACTCCTGAAAAAATTCAATTGGAGTCAGGGTTACTTCCACTCACTTGCTATGAAAAAAAATGTTTTTTTTTTTCCGAATTATGAAATCGTTAGATGTCATAATGATAATTAGTACTTGTAAGTTACAAGAAGAGGCTCATAAAACCTGTCAATTAAGCTTTCAGAGCGTCACAATCACGGATTTTATGATTCGTGAGCATTCACTCAGAGTGAGTGCTCACGAATCGTACAATCGTTGATTGTGACGCTCTGAAAGCAACACAGCAAAAAATTAATTTTGATATCACATCAAAGTGAATGCACTTCAATCGTGTCAAAAATATGGTTTAATATTACTTGCCAAAAAGGACAAAATTATCATTTTTTTTTCTTTATTTAGGAAAATTATCATTAATACAGTGCATGAACTGACATTACGCTGCTTTTATTGCATTTGTTTATTTTTGTGGCCATAAAAATTACATGAGATTTTAGACATGATTGAAGTGCATCCTCTTGGATGTAATATTAAAATTTATTTTTTGCTGTGAATATTGTCCACTTTAAGTCTGATTTTTAAGTATGTAAATCGTTAACTTCACGCATGAAGTAATAAAAACATGATTTGCTAAAGTACATAACTCTGGATGGGTGCTTACCATCAATCATACTGGTCATTGGTCGAAAGGTACAGTAGCAGCGCTTTCCCTACCCGTGTATCTTTAAGATCATTAAGTTGGCAATGGCAGGAGCACGTGTGGACTGGTAGAGGAAACAATAGCTGTAATTTTCAAATATATCAACTAGATGCTTACGTCGATGCAAATCGGCTATCATCTCTTTTTACAGTGGTGGAGGGGGGACCCATTTCTCGCCATCCCTCATAAACGGACACTGCCATACTATAACGGAACTATCACCTCTATACTTTCATCTAATCTTCTTCTTCTTCTTCTTCTTCTTCTTCTTCTTCTTTCCTTTATTTAACGTCGGTCTCTGTTCCGCAATCTAGTGCCAATCACCGACGGACATCGATTGCCATCCATTGACGGCAATCGAATGTGCAGGAAGGCAGCTTCCACACCTGCGTAGGATATCGCACCCATTCAACACACATGGGCCGCGACCAACGGCTTTACTTCCCTTCCGAAGGAAGGCGTGACCAGAGATTTTTATGCCTCAGAAAAATCCCACCGACCTCGGCTGGGATTGAACCCAGACCCATTGGGGTGTTAAAAAGCAGTCACGCTTACCACTACACCACCGGCGCCGGCCATCTCATCGTCTATCGTATAAAATGTCCACTTTAAGTCTGGTATATAACGTTAATAACCTCCAACTATGTAAATCGTAAACTTCACGCATGAAGTAATGAAAACATGATTAGTTAAAGTATTATTATTATTCTTTAGGAAATCTCCTCAGCATCCCTTAACCTTCAAGAAAAAAGGTCTCATTAGAGTTCCTTCGGAACTGTTTTCATGCTCGGATTTCATTGAAAATAATATCGATTTTTTTTATAATTTCAGGAGCTTTTTGGAGCTCTTGTCAGTAATCCCTAGAAATTGTAAATGGAATTAGCTTCAGAGTTAATTTTATATCTTGCTCAGATTTTCTTCGGAATACTCCTGGACTTCTCCTAACAATCTCAATGAAAACCTCCTAATAATTACCATTTACTTTTATTCATAATACCCTTAGAATTCTCCATAGAAGTTCACCTCGCAAAGCCCATTGAATCCTTTTCAAAATTAATTTAAAAATGCTCAACGGAGTTCTTAAGAATACTTTTCAGAATTCTCCAGGAGTTTTCTGCCAAATGCTCATGAAACGAAATTAATGTCGTGGAAAACCTCTTTGAATACGCCCCTTTTCCTTGTTGCCCTTGGTGGGGGGCATTTTTGCTCTTTTCGCCGACCCCTCACTACGTCCCTGAGTGCACCCAAGAAACCAAGACGATTTGATGGAAGTATACATATTCATCACACTTTTTTTTCACTTTTGGTGTAATCCAGCTTAAGTTGAAAGCTGCAATACATTGTTAAAATGAATACAAAGCTCTAAATTACATCAACTGTAGTACAAATTGCCCAACATGACAGAAAACAAGTCTCAATAATTAATATCTTGAGCCATCGCTTGAGCGAATCCCATTTAACCTTCTGAATAATTTAGCAATAACACTAATGAAGATAGAGGATTTTGATAGATATCCCGTGACGTGCTAGTACACTGTTTCTGAAAATGTAGGACCAGTCAGTATTTATACGAAAGCACAAACAAATTAATCTGAAACTTCCTCCGGAAGCCTCAACTACTCTACCATTTCTTAAAACCTGATATATTTACCTGCATAACTTTGTTAATTTCATCCAGTAGCAGGAGCTTTTCGTTTTTGTACTGAAAACCGAGCAGCCCTAATTGAGCACTCTGTATGGTACCTACTGTCGTATGCCAGCAGTAGCAGCGTCGTCACTCCGTAAGGGGTTTATTATCGTGCACGGATGGGCGTTTATTCTTCTTTTCCTTCTTCTTTTATTGTAGCAATAAATGCTGCAAACGTACTACAAGAACACACACCAGAACAGACACTAGCCTCGTGTGAAGAATCCCCAACGAGATGAGGGATTTGTAGTAATTTGATACTACGGTAAGCACTTGACTGCTGCAGCCCTCATCGGTGGAGCACCATCGTACACGGATAACAACCTGAGGGCCATTTTCTCCGATTTATTTTCTTCCCTTGCCAGCAGCCTCTGAACGGGAACACTTTTTTACGCGTTTCACTCACAGCCTTGAGATTCGTTCGAATATCCTTGACCAATTACCCTACCTCCTGTCGGGCTCTTTTGTCATACTTGATTCCGGAAAAGGAACACCTAATTTACACTGTCGCTCGGTAATTTGTAGATTAATTTCAGTAAAAAAAGGACCCTTGCACTCACTGAAACCAACCCCCGGCCCTTGCTTCAAAGCTGTTCCATTTCCCAGCAGGGTGGCTATGGCAACGAACGTGAGATGGAAGATATGTACTGGGTACACCTTGATGTTGGCTCTGTAGTTGGGGATGCTTTTCCTATCCGTTTCCTATCCACTGGATGCGTCGCGGAATACTGAGAGCAAGGCGTACCGGACGGTTGCCTAAATACAGGCGTATAACACTCACGAAAACCTTTCTGGAGTGCTTGTGTGTGTGTGTGTGGATGTTGATGTATTTGCCAACAGGATGTTTCATAGATCAAGAATACAGAACGATACAGTAGTGATCAGAACGTTCGAGTTTAGTAACCTCTTATAAACTTTTGTCGGTCCGGATACTCAGCAAAATGGGGTAAACCCTTTGATTTAAGATAACGAGGACGAGCACTTTAACTTTTCACGAGTTCATAACGAGAATATTGCAGTTATACCTAACTAAACAAAATTCTTAAACCAAGTAATAAAGTAAAAAGAGACCCTAATTAATAATATTGTTCTAATTTTGAAGCCGGATAAAAATCCAGCTGAAGCTTCTAGCTACCGTCAAATAAGTTTACTTTCTTCAATAAGAAAACCTTTTGAAAAGATAATTTTGAATAGAATGATGCTTCACATCAATACGAACTCAATTTTTGTAGATGATTGCTAAATAATAAAAAAAAATCCACCATATATCATGATTTTTTTTTTTGTTGGGGAAGGGAGTAAAACCACTGCGTCCATTATTTGAACTTAAGAAATTAGTTCAAACTTATTTAACTAACAGAACTCTGCAGGTAAACTATCAGAATTCCAAATCTAATCGACTCCCTGTTATAACTGTAGTTCCTTGGGTCGAAATTGTATAACATTTTCACTTCGGACCTCCCTGAGTTAGCTCAGGGTTGTTACACACAAATTTGTATTCGTAAATGACACAGGCATTTCCCTTAAAGGAAGAAGTCTTCGTGTTATTTGCATCAGACTGCAGAAAAGTTTAAATACTTTCCCATCTTATTTACAAAAAATGGAATATTTCTCGCAACGCTTCCAAAACTCAATGTATAAATTTCCTACATAAACCAAGAGCTTCCTTTTTGAAACCTAGTAGCAGTCACGTAGACACAATGAACGGTCAAATGAAATATTTTGAATTAGTACTTGCTTGCACTCCACAGTGCTTTCCAGCCATCTTGCTCCTATTATCGTAAGACTGACCACGGCAGTTCTGGAAATTCAAATCATGGGCTTGGAGTTTATTCAAAATTTCATTGGATAGTTCTTTCGCTGTCTTTTCATTAGTATGAATGAAATCGATTAAATGCTCCTTGATTATACAATTTCCATCCAAGAAATTCACAAATCGCAAAATCTTACTAATTTGTTCCTTACGACTTTTACCGGGAGTGTAAGTGAACATAACCACAACATTGAATCCGACAAAAAGCATGCCCGCAACCGGTGTCATGATCCTCACAAGAGTCATGAATAAATTCGTTGTCTTCCGATTCTTCCCACCGGCTGTTTTCACAAATGCTTCTAAGTAGGACTTCGAAGTATGCAGCAAGAGATCGCAAAATCAGTGACGTTTTCCTTCAGTCCGCATCGTGCTCTCTTGCCGTGCGGATCTATTTGCTTTTTGCTTAAGGAAGTGCTACTACTACCTAAAGCTACAACAAATTGAAATAACACTTTTCAGTGCTCAACCTGTAACAATTTTTCTACCTTGTTCAACTCTTATTCCTCTTCGATCCTTGTTTGGACCCTACCCGAGGTAATCCTTCTTGGATATCGATTTGGAAAATTCCTCTTCGATCCTTCAGATTCTTATAGTAATCTGCTTGGAAGTCGATTTGGATAAAAATTTACTGCCGCCATGGCGCCTAAACGCAAAAGAAAGGGGCAAATTCTTGACCCCCCTTCTGATGTAATTAATTTGAGTCATCAATTTGATTTGCTCACGGATGATGAGAATGATCCATCATCCAAGAAAAATTCTAGAGCTGATTGGGAGCAATATCGAACATTTATGGAATATAACTTCGACCCAAACATTCCTTTGCAAACCAAAGATGAAATTAATTATGCTCTTGAATCTCTGACTACTTCTATAGTTGAAGCAAGAGCTGCCTCAGTACCAAAATGCGAGGTTAAATTCGATTCAATTATAATAGACGACGATCTTCAGCTCTTGATCCGTCTTAAAAATGTCCGTAGGAGACAATATCAAAGAACACGTGATCCTGCCATGAAAGTTATCTGGCGGGATATACAAAAACAAATTAAAAAACGATTCTCTGCCCTGAGGAACAAAACTTTTGAAAATAATGTTTCTAAATTAGACCCGAGCTCCAAACCCTTTTGTAAACTCACAAAAATTTTGAAAAAAATCTCAAAAGCCTATTCCAGCGCTTAAAGAAGGTGGTAAAATTTTGTTCACAAATTTGGAAAAAGCTCAAAAACTTGCTAAGCAATTCGAGAGTTCCCATAATTTCAGTTTGGGTCTTACTAGTCCTATTGAAAATCAGGTTGCTCGGGATTATCTGAATATTTTCTCTCGGGAAAATATTTTTGATGATTCCTGGGGGACTGATTTGGACGAAGTAAGGTCTATAACTAAAAAGTTTCAAAATATGAAAGCTCCAGGTGATGATGGAATTTTCTATATCCTCATCAAAAAACTCCCAGAGAGTACCTTGTCCTTCTTGGTAAAATTATTTAACAGATGTTTCCATTTGGCATACTTTCCTGATAAATGGAAAAATGCAAAAGTTGTTCCAATTTTGAAGCCGGATAAAAATCCAGCTGAAGCTTCTAGCTACCGTCCAATAAGTTTGCTTTCTTCAATAAGTAAACTTTTGAAAAGATAATTTTAAATAGAATGATGCTTCACATCAATACGAACTCAATTTTTGCAGATGAGCAGTTTGGATTTCGCCATGGGCATTCAACTACTAATCAACTCTTAAGAGTTACCAATTTAATTCGTTCAAACAAATCTGAAGGCCACTCAACTGGAGTTGCTCTTCTAGACATAGAAAAAGCATTCGACAGTGTTTGGCATGAAGGTTTGATTGCTAAATTGAAAAAGTTTAATTTTCCACTTTATATTATGAAATTAGTTCAAAATTATTTAACTGACAGAACTCTGCAGGTAAATTATCAAAATTCCAAATCTAATCGACTACCTGTTAGAGCAGGAGTTCCTCAGGGTAGTATTCTTGGGCCTATATTGTATAACATTTTCACTTCGGACCTCCCTGATTTGCCTCAGGGTTGCCACAAATCTTTGTTCGCTGATGACACAGGCATTTCCGCTAAAGAAAGAAGTCTTCGTGTTATTTGCAGCAGTCTGCAGAAAAGTTTAGATATTTTCTCTTCTTATTTACAAAAATGGAAGATTTCTCCCAACGCTTCCAAAACTCAACTTATAATATTTCCACATAAGCCTAGAGCTTCGTTTTTGAAACCTAGTAGTAGTCACATAGTCACTATGAACGGAGTTCCAATTTCCTGGTCAAACCAAGTGAAATATCTTGGATTAATACTTGACCAAAAATTAACTTTTAAAGATCACATTGAGGGCATTCAAGCCAAATGTAACAAATATATAAAATGTTTGTATCCTCTTATAAACAGGAAATCCAAACTTTGCCTGACGAATAAACTTCTAATATTTAAACAAGTTTCTAGACCGGCCATGCTTTACGCTGTGCCAATATGGTCTAGTTGTTGCACTACCAGGAAAAAAGCACTTCAAAGGATTCAGAAAAAAGTTCTGAAGATGATTTTGAAGTTACCTCCCTGGTACAGTACTACCGAGGTACATAGAATTTCGAATGTTGAGACTTTAGAACAAATGTCCAACAAAATAATTAATAATTTCAGGCAAAAATCGTTGCAATCCTCAATTGCAACGATTAATTCCCTTTATACATAGATAAGATTTAGTTTTAGTTTTTAGTTTTAAGATATCAATTGTTATACTGACATGCAGGTTTAAAAAACCTGTTTAAAATACTGAATTGCCAAGACAGGAACAATGTAAAAATACTTAGATATATATCATAACAATTAAGGCTGGTACGTTACTGCAGTAACTGGAGCACCTAGGTTAAAATGAAATGTAATTTATTTTGAATTTGGAACAAATAAAGAGTTAAAAAAAAAGGGGCTTAGAAGCAGAGGGGTAAAAGTCAATTTTCAAGCCGATTTGTCGTGAAACATCAGTATAGTAAAACTATGTTATCTAGTGTGAAAATTCTATTTTAATTTTTAAAATGATATTTTTTTTTCCAATTTTTTCAAAGGTCATTAATTAATTACAAAAGCACTTAGAGGGCAGGGGGTGTTAAAATTTGTCATACGTTTTCTCACAGGGGGTCCCAGAAATATCTTAAATAAGCATGGGCATGTTCATATACAGACCATTCAAATATTCAATGTAAGATCTTATAAAGGGGGGAGGTCTGTTAAATATTACTAAATCTTGCAATGGTAGTAGCATAGAGATAATTCTAAGACCCGAAGAAACGTGCTCAACTTTTTGGCTCAGCTCTGGTACTCTCTTCGGTCCCAAGCTAATAGATGCACCCCTCGAAACATAGGAAAATCCACGAAACCCTAATTTTATTTGTCAAACTTGCATAGCGTATCAAAACAAACTTAGTGTAGTACTAGAATATGGGCTACGTTAATCGATTTACTTGGGACCGATAGGCTAGTCCAGTGCGAGTCAATTTAAAATCGTTAATTTACACCGATTGGTAGTAGCGAGTTTTAAAACTCCCAAAAAAGTGCTTACGTAATTATTGCATGACCATATATGAAGTTTATTTTTTTTTATCTTAATTTTTTATCTACAAATCACCCATAGATAAAAATTATGTAAGTTATATAATAAATAAGTTATAATTTTTCTAAAAAAATTAGTGGGTAAAAAAAGTTCAGTCTTTTTTAAATAGAAGTCTAGAATTTTTAGTAAGAAATTAAGCATACAAAATTGTTCAAGTAAGCTACATCTTAACAGCCATAAAGTTTCACCGGAATCTGAGAGGATGCTGTCAGCCCATTATACGCTTTAAGATGATGTTCGTCAATTGTTGGAAACACA